CTCAAGAAATTCAATAACATTGGAATTATCCTATGTATTTTTTCAGACCACAATGGATTAAAATTAGAAATAAATAACAAACAAAATTCTGGAAACTATACAAATACATGGAAATTAAACAGCATTCTACTTAATGACATATGGGTCCAAGAAGAAATCAAACAGGAAATCAAAAATTTATTGAAACTAATGAAAACAATGATACATCATACCAAAACCTGTGGGATACTGCAAAAGCAGAACTAAGGGGGAAATTTATCACATTAAATGCTTACTTCAGAAGAATGGAAAGATGGCAAGTGAACAACCTAATACTTGCCTTTAAGAACTAGAAGAACAAGAACAATCCAAACCCAAAGTTAGCAGACAGACAGAAATCATTAAGATCAGAACAGAACTTAATGAAATTGAAACTCAACAAACAATACAAAAGATCAATGAATCAAAAAGTTGGTTTTTTGAAAAGATAAATAAAATTGACAAACCATTAGCATGGCTAACTAAAAAAAGAAGAGAGAAGACCCAAACAACAAAATTAGAAATGAAAAAGGTGATATTACCAGTGACACCTCTGAAATACAAGCAATGATTCAAGACTACTATAAACAACTATATGCCAACAAATTTGAAAATCTGGAGGAAATGGATAAATTTCTGGACACACATAAATTACCAAAACTTAGCCAAGACAATGTAGAAAATCTGAACAGACCAATAACAATAAAAGAGATTGAAGCTGTTATCAGAAGGCTCCCAACAAAGAAAAGCCCAGGTCCAGATGTATTCACACCAGAATTCTACCAAACATTGAAAGAGGAATTGACAACAATTCTCAACAAACAATTCCAAAAGATTGAAACAGAGGCAATTCTCCCAAACTCATTCTATGAAGCAAACAGCACCCTGATACCAAAACCAGCTAAAAATATAACTAAAAAAGAAAACTACAGGCCAATATCCTTGATGAATATAGACTCAAAAATCCTCAATAAAATACTAGCTAACAGAATAGAGCAACACATATGCAAAATTATACCCCATGATCAAGTGGGATTCATCCCAGTGATGCAAGGTTGGTTCAACATATGCAAATCAATAAATGATACACTTCATCAACAAAATCAAACACAAGGACCACATGATCATCTCTATCAATGCTGATAAAGCATTTGATAAAATTCAACACTCATTCATGATAAAGACTGTCTATAAATTAGCTATAGATGGAAACTACCTGAACATAATTAAAGCCATATATGTAAACCCACTGCGAGTATCATCTTGAATGGGGAAAACCTGAATGCTTTTCCTTTTAGAACAGGAATTCGACAAGGATGCACAGTCTCACCACTCCTGTTCAACATAGTGTTGGAAGTGCTAGACAGAGCAATCAGAGAAGATAAGGAAATAAAGGGCATCCAGATTGGAAAAAATGAATTCAAGCTCTCCCTGTTTGCACATATCTTGATCCTATATATCGAACAGCCTAAAGCCTCTACACAAAAACTCTTGGAGTTGATATATTTCAGCAGAGTTGAAGGATACAAAATCAACACACAAAAATCAGTAGCACTTCTATTCTCCAATAGTGAACATGCAGAAAGAGAAATCAAGAAAGCTTGCCCATTTACAATAGCCACTAAAAAATAATATACTTAGGAACAGAGTTAACCAAGGATGTAAAAAATTTCTACAATGAGAACTACAAACAACTGCTGAGAGAAATTAAAGAGGACACAAGAAGATGGAAATATATCCCATGCTCTTGGATTGGAAGAATCAACATTGTGAAAATGTCCATACTACCCAAAGTGTTACACAAATTCAATGCAATCCCCATCAAAATTCCAAAGACATTTTTCTCAGAAATGGAGAAAACTATCCAGACATTTATATGGAATAACAAAAGACCATGCATAGCCAAAGAAATTCTGAGAAAAAAAAAATAAAGCTGGAGGCATAACACTACCTGACTGAACTATACTACAAAGCTATAATAACCAAAACAGCATGGTACTGGCATAAAAACAGACGTACTGATCAATGGAATAGAATAGTGAATCCAGAAATTAACCCACACACCTACAGCTATCTTATTTTTGACAAAGGCACCAAGCCTATACACTGGGGAAGAGACTGCCTCTTCAGCAAATGGTGCTGGGATAACTGGATATCTATTTGCAGGAGAATGAAACTAGACCCATACCTCTCACCATATACTAAAATAAACTCACATTGATTTAAGAATTAAATATACACCCTGAAACAATAAAACTTTTTAAAGAAAATATAGGAGAAACACTTCAGAAAGCAGGACTGGGCACAGACCTCATGAATATGACCCCCAAAGCATGGGCAACCAAAGGAAAAATAAACAAATTTGATTATATCAAACTAAAAAGCTTCTGACCCGCAAAAGAAACAATTAGCAGAGTTAAAAGACAACCAACAGAATGGGAGAAAATATTTGCATAATATACATCTGACAAAGGATTAATTCAGAATATACAAGGAAATGAAACAACTTTACAAGAAAAAAACAAGTAACCCAATTAAAAAATGGGCAAAAAGCTAAATAGGCATTTTTCAAAGCAAGATATATGAATGGCCAACAGACACATGAAAAAATGCTCTACATTACTCAGCATTTGGGAAATGCAAATCAAAACCACACTGAGATATACCATCTCACCCCAGTTAGGATGGCTAATATCCAAAAGACTCTGAACGATAAATGCTGGTGAGGTTGCGGAGAAAAATCAACTGTCATACATTTTTGGTGTGACTGAAAAATGGTGCAGCCTTTATGGAAAATGGTATGGAGGTCCCTCAGACAATTGCAGATAGATCTACCATATGACCCAGCTATCCCACTGCTGGGAATATACCCAGAGGAATGGAAATCATCAAGTCGAAGGTATACCTGTTCCCCAATGCTCATTGCAGCACTCTTTACAATAGCTAAGAGTTGGAACCAGCCCAAATGTCCATCATCAGATGAGTGGATATGGGAAATGTGGTATATCTACACAATGGAATACGACTCAGCTATAAAAAGAATGAAATACTGCCATTTGCAACAACATGGATGGACCTTGAGAGAATTATGTTAAGTGAAACGAGTCAGGCACAGAAAGATAAATACCACATGTTCTCACTTATTTGTGGGAGCTAAAAATAAATAAATAAATACACAAATAACCTGGTGGGGAGGGAAGAAGACACAGCAATTAGAATTCCTTGAAGTTCATACGACAAGTGAACAGAAAGGAGGTTGTTCAGAGGAAGGTGGGAGAGGGCGGAGGGAGAGAGGTTTCGGTAATGGGCCACAATAATCAACCACACCGTATATTGACAAAATAAAATAAAATTAAAAAAAAGAAAATCATATATCAAAAAGATTGTTTCTTAATTACCTTTTATGTTGTAAAAATCCGTGAGTTAACTTTGCTGATCAAAAAACCTGACTAGAGTCCTGAACGGCTGTCTAAACTAGCAGTACCTCTACCTAGGAAGATACTTCTTTAAAAATTAATCTGAGCAATTGAGTTTGAGGCAAAATTGAATCATCAAGAACTACAGAAGTCTGTCCTGCTGAGGCCTTAAACCTCCATGTTTATTTTTTTGTATGTATTCATTACCCATTGTGCACCATTTTTTGTACCCCAGTAATTACTATTATGGTTGGTATACAGTAACGGCATGTTTGCATTTTAAAAAAATATAAGAGAACTGTGCTCTTTAATTTGTGTGTCTTTGGATCATTTACTGCAAGACCTGCATTTATGTACGTTAGCTTTCCCAGCTTTAATTTGTTTTCTTAACTTATATATCTACTTGTATTTTTCAATGTACTATATATTTGTGTAGACTCCCTTAAAGCTTTGGTGGAAAAAGCTGGAGTAAAAAATATATAAATACAGTTGATTCTTTTTATTTGCAGTTGTTATGTTCTGGAAAGTATCCTAGGACACAAATTTTTGAATACTGCATCATTGCTTCTAGGTGAAATACAGGGTTAGGTTCCTGCAAGGCTCTGGTTATAGTATTTTTGTCAACTAATTAATACATAACTGTGTTTTATGTGTGTTTCTATTTAAAGACACCTTATTTAATATATATTGTTGATTCATCCACATTGAACTCACAGCCATCAGCTCTATAACTCATGCCTGAATGAAGGTTCTCTAACACATATTTTCTCGTAAGGCATATTGCAGCCTTCTTGTGGTTAGGGTCACACTTCAACACTATGGTTGGTGCCATTACAGACAGCGAAATCGCCAACAGAAAGCATAAAAATATGAAAACATGTCACTAAACAGACTGTGAAAAGGACATTATTTGCAGTATGTGAGCTCAAACAAGGCAGAACATCTCGTCGCTCAGCACCATTGGGAAGGTGTGTTGAGAAACTCAGACTTCTCACTCCTCTGAGCGTGATTGTGAATGACTGCAAAAGCACCGCAAGCACTGATACCGGGCTTACAAATAAACTTTAGCAAGTAGGTGAATTCACAAAGATGACATCTGCAAATAATGAGAATTAACTATATATATATAAAATAAATGGTGTGTTTGCACATATTCATATCTAGGAATTTTTAAGACCATGCCTTAGTAGTAAAATATAGCTGATTAAGTTTCTCTCAGAAAAAAACCAATTCTATTTTATTTATGAAGTTGATATGGAGTGTTAGAAATAACAAAGTTATAGCATTACTCATATAAGCCAGCATAGTTTTTTCTTCCTTAAAAAAAAAAAAAATGCATGGACAGACTGTGTGAAAACTTGTGCATGATTATTAAACTTAGCGTGAATGATTTTGATGTTAAGTTTTATAATTTTGAATTATTTTAAAATATTAAATAATTCCCAAGTACTATTTATTGAACAAAGATTCTCCTTCTTATATAATGGTGTTATACCTCTAAGGAAGAAAATTCATAATTCTAATATCTGTGGAATGGTAAAATTTTGTTTTTCTAAACTTTCACAGTGAGTGTCGTGAAGAAAAAATAAGGAAGCTTACACCTGGTGAAATGGATGAAATTCGAGAAATATTATCACGGAATCTCTATCAAATACGTCAGCGAGTGAGAATAATTTATTTAGCAAAATGTTTACTTGCCTTTGGCTGAAATATGCCTTCTGTTTTTGTGCTGTAATTGGATGCCCCATCATACTCCAGCCTCAGTGGGTCCCACTTTGGGCATCGTCTCCTTTTCTCTCAGCCCCCTCTTCCCAGCATCCTGTCTTGTCAGGGTCTCACTGTTGTCACGGCTAAAGCCTCGGAGTCCTCGGAGTCCCCTGGGAGTTCTGCTACTATAGGCTTGGAGATAAAGAAATATATGTTAACTGTTTAGAAATGAATTGATTGCCATTTTTTTCTAAAAGGAAATAGCTTTAAGCTTAAAATTTAAAAATACATCTAATTCTCCTTGCTTTTCATAAAGTGCTGTAGTTTCTTCCTTTAATGTATCCTCTGAGTCACTTCCTTCACTGCATTTCCATTGTTAACCCCTAGCACTTGGAACTTATACTGTGCTACATGATTTTAGCAGTTCCTCTTATGATTTCATATTATTTTGCTACCCTCAGATGCCCAACTAGATGGTAAACTCCTCAAGGCATGAATGGAGTCTTGTTCTAAGTTACCTTTGCATCTTTTTACAGGGCCTAATACAGTTCTGGACACAGGGATGTTCCCAAGAAGAACATGTCAATTCTATCAGAAAATGAACCTAATTACTAATTACGATTTATTTTAGGAAGCACACTTCTATATAGCTTATAAAACCATGGCTGGATGCCACGTACAGCCCTAGTTTAGAAATTTTACTCCTTCAAATATTCGGACGTTATTTTTGCTGCTGGTGGCAGCAGCTTTCTCAATGTGACAACAGAGGGCATGGCACCACCAAGTGGCTCAAAGTGGCTTTTTATATAGACCGGTGATTCCTATTCATTAGAGAGTATGTGAGATGACTTGTGTTTGGTTTTTCCCAGCTGCTCACAATGGCCAAATACACACAAGGTACAAAAAGGCACTTGATGAATTCAGTATTTTTCTCACTTGTAAAGGTCATGCTTTTCAATGAAAAAATACTTATTCATCTACTTTTATTAAAGAATGAATGCTTTCAAATTTTGAAACTTTTTTACTTTTACTTTTTAAAGTTTTTGCTCTGCATGGAAGTCGTAAGTGCCCAGCTGAGGTGCAAGTCAAAAAAACGTGGTAAAGTTTTGGAATTTCTGGGGAAATGATCGTTTTTTTGGTAAAATGTCACTTATGTGTTTGCGTTTCAGACTTTGTCGTACAACAGACACAATCTGACAGCCGACACCAGTGAGAGACAAGCCAAGGAGATTCTGATCCGCCGACGGCACAGCTTGCGAGAGAGCGTTAGGAAAGACAGCAGCTTGAATCGAGAGCACAGGGTAACTGGAGCTTGTGCCTTGGGGACGCAGAAGGCTTCCCAGGCGGGCCATGACTGCCTGTTGGTCAGCTGGTAGCACCTCAGCTCTACTGCTCCAGTGGCTGCTGAGGGTTGATTCATAGGAATTCTGGGGTGCAGTGGATGATAATGTCTTTTCAAGTGATTGTTGAATATCTGTTATGTTCCAGGCACTGTTCCGGGCACTTGGAATACATTGGTAAACAAAATTGACAAAGGGTTCTATGCTTGTAGGGTCCATATTCTCTTGGGGGAGAAAGCTACCAGCAATAGACAGAATAAGTAAGGTATGTGTTATGTTAGAAGGCACAAAGTGCTGTGGAAAAAATAAAAACAGAGCTGAAGAAGGAGATTGGGAGCAGAGGGAAGATGCAGTCAAGTTATAGTGTTGAACAGAACGGCTGGGCCGGGCTTCATGTGGAAGGTGCTATTTGAGCTTTCCAGGAAGAGGCTGCAGCCAGTGCAAACGTCCGAAGGTGGGCAGGCTGCGTGTTCTCTGAAGAGGTGTCAGGTGGCAGAGCGGCACTGCTGATAGATAAGGAAGGCCATCTAAAAGGGATGTTGTGACGCTGATTTAACATTGCAGGGATTGCATCTTATTTTTGATAATATTCTGTATTGTGTCATCAGAGATCAAAATGGTTATGTGTGAACAAGGAGGTTATCTGTTTTTATGTGCAAAGTGTAGCAGTGTCAATTAAAAGTTAATTAAACTAGAGACTGTAGCATTCCAAATGTCAGTGAATTAGCTATAGTAATACTTTTTGTTGTTCTATCATTTTCAAGATTTATTAAATTAAATAAAACTTAAATGAGCAACTTTTTAACTTTTTTTTTACAGATTTCTTTTCCATATGAATAGGTTTTAAGACTTCCTAGTAATACTTTTATAAAAGGGTATTTCAGTAGCTTTTCTTTAAGAACACCCAGTGGTTTTCACAATCTTGTTTCTAATGGTCCCATTTATTTACATTTTCCTCAGTATAGATCTCCATTATGTTTTGAAAGGGATTTAGTTATTTCAAGTACAATAGTTCCAGCCCCTCATAAGAAAATTTTGGAATCAAGAACTAAAATTCTAATTTTTAACACCAAGTTTTGCCATAAAATTTTCAGCTTCTAATACTGTATACAGTAAATGCCATTTATGTAGTCTAAATAATGCTTTTTATTTCTTTTACAGGGTTCTACATCAAACTCCCGATATTTATCCTTACCTAAAAATACAAAGCTTCCAGAAAAGCTACAAAAGAAAAAGAATATTTCTAATGCAGGTAATGAATAGACTTGAAGCAGAAAAACTTTAAATTTCATTCTTAGAGAATGAAAGAGAATTTTAGAGAATTTTACTAATGCTTATAAAATAGAGAATTTTTTCTATTGTCATTAAGGACGAGATCAATAGTTTGCAAATCTAAAATAATAACAGGATGACCTTTTATTAGCATTACAAACTTTTTGAGTGGCATTCTGTGCAGATTATAGATTATCCAATCAGTTATTTTCTGTAATGATTCTATATGATAAAGCAAAAAAAATATTGTCACCATGGGGGTTACTGAGCAGGCAAACAAAGTTGTAAGTCTGCAAATATGTAAGTATTTGAATTTTTATAATAATTCTAATATATTTTCATAAAGGCAATCTTCTATTTTATTTCTAGCTGTAATTATCAAAGCTTTGTCATAAGATCTAACATCTCTTTGTTTGGTGCTAATCTTTACATAGATGTCCAAGCTTTTTCTATGAACCTCAGAAGAACTGTTAGGATTTCATGTTATTAAAATTCGGGATGTAACAATGATTACCCCTTCACTTTTTCTTTTTTTTTTTTTTTTTGCTTGTTTAGTTAACCCAGAGGAGGACAGTCTAGTGATGGCTGGTGGTAATGGAGGGCGAGGAGAGAGATGGGGATGGAGGACAGGGAAGAGAGGCAGCAGTGAACGTTCAGGACAGTGGTCCGAGTTTCCCCCTGTGTCCAGCAAACCTGTTGTCACTTCCCAAGAGTCTCCACTCCTGGGCAAGCGTCCCCTCCACTGTCTTACCCACACAACTCCGGCACCTGAATCAGGTTCTTACCAGGCCTCCTTTTGTCTGAAAAGCGCACACTGGTGTATGGGTCCTTTTTTGAAAATATAAAGGAAATCAGCAAAGCTATTTATGAGATTCCAATCAAGGCATGAATCCTCATCACAGCGGGTAATCAATCATCTCCCTGCTTACTGTGTGCCCGACGCTGAGCTGGGCGCTGCTGGGATCATTCCTGTACTGGGCAGGTGAGATCACGGTGGCTACTGCCAGCAGGTCTCGGGTGGAATTCCAGCCCCACCACTTACTAATATCTCTGGAACCTAGTTACCCCATCCATAGAATGGGTGATTGTCAGGATTAAATGGGCTAATGGACTTAACAGTGCTTGGGACAGTGTCTGCCACACAGTAAGCTCTTCAAAATTCGCATGAATGGACACTTGTGGACAGGAACGATTGATTTCAGATTACACAAGAGGCTCAGTGACGTCCCGTGGAGGAAGCGTGAGCCTCTCACCTCCCTTCCCCCAGAGGCCCAGGGTGTAGCGGTTGCATGTTGCAGTAATGTGCTGAAGTCGCTTGTAAGGCCTTCGCTTCAAAGTTCTTGCCCACAGTGTCCTTCTCTTGCTCTGCGGCAGATGGTAATAGCAGTGACTCAGACGCAGATGCCGGGACCACCGTACTCAATTTGCAGCCCCGATCCAGGCGCTTCTTGCCTGAACAGTTCTCCAGGAAAGCCCCCCAGGCCTATAAAATGGAGTGGAAGAACGAGGTAGATGTTGATTCCGACCGGGGGCAGCCCAGCACCCCCCCAGCACCTCGCAGCAAAGAGGGGGGCACCCAGACGCCAGGCGTACTACGACAGCCCCTTCTGTCCAAAGGCCAGTTTGGCCCAGGGAGGGAAGACAGTTTGACTGAAGGCGACCGACCCAAGCCGCCACCGAGGCTGGTCCGGAGGGCATCAGAACCTGGAAACAGGAAAGCCCGATCGGGGACTGAGAAGCCTTGATGGAAACGGCCAAAACAGAGCTGGGTGGCTGACGTGGCACAGCCGTGGTGGTCACCCCGAAACCTGACACAGCCCTGGAATTTGCTGAAAATTCTCTGTGTATCTGAATACTTTCTTTGGGTGATACAGTCCTGCCACTGATTCATGGGACGAATTTTTATCCCAAGAAGAAGAAAATCAAAGAAAAAAGTCCCACCAAATGTCTCTTGTGACTTGTTGGTAGCCATTGTATTATTTTCAGGTCTGAAGAAAAAAAAAAAATGTGTGCCTTTATTGAACTTGAATGATAGAACTTGAAATTTTTAACACACCCTTGGTGAAAATTTTAATATATTACATATATGCCTCAAATTTTATTTATGAAAAAAAATGTACATATCTATAATCAGTTTTTAAGAGAATGGCACTAAGTACCGAGCACATCTTTCCAAGGGATAAAGGGGTTCCTGGAGGAGGGGCATAAGCTCAGGGCAGGGGGCCCTTCCCTGTCCTGAGCTGATGACCAGTTGGTACAGGAAGAGTACAGCCCGAGACAGAGGCAGCTCATGACTCACACTGGGAAAAGAGCGCCAGGTAGGTGCAGTGACCTGCCTCCCCGAAGGCAGATACTGGAGGTCCCAGTACTCCTTTCTATGAAATGAGGGTCAGCTGGTTTTTAATTTGTTTCTCTGTCTACTGTGCATTTGGAGGTGACATATAAGTGCCATCTCCCCTTCTCGTTTAAATGGTGCAAAGAGAAAGTCTGCCTGGACAGTACCGGCTTATGGTGTTTGATAGACGTGGTGGCAGCGTTTGAAGTTCCTGACTTGGTGGGGTTTATATTGTGCAATGCTGGGAGGAGGAGGCAGGTGATTCCTTTCATATCCGTCTATAACCACCTGCTTTAAGTAGAATTTTTATGTAGAACATTCTTTGAACTTTGAGCCTCCAGGTCAGAGGCTCAGGGCAGACAATGATGAGAATTTGTATAAATATATTCCAATATTTAACAAATCAGAGAGATTACAGGTTTTAAATTTTATTAAGGAAGCCCTTTGGAGAATGTGGGAATCCTATTTTCTTTTTTTTGCACTACTCTGTAATTTGTTACCTCTCCCCCTTTAATTATGTAGTAACTTAAATTCTTCATATGAAATTGGATTCTACTCATTGGAATAGTTTTTCAAAGTATAGCAGAAAGAAAATAATCATTAAAAATTATTATTTGAATCTGTCTCCTAAACTGCAGATTTTATTTTTCCCTGAATAATACCTCTTTAAAACTTTACTGGAACAAAACTCTAAATTTCTGGGTTTGGATATTTTTTTTTTTTTGTCTTTTTCTGTGTCCGGCAATGGATCGCAACCCTCAGTGTTGCCCCCGTACCGGACCAGGACCGGCAACGGGATCGCAACCCTCGGTGTTGCCCCCACGCCTCACTCAGCCAGTGAGCGGGAACCGGTCTGTATGTGGGATCCGAACCCTCGGCAGGAGCGCCACCGCACTTCCCAAGCGGCGCACTAGCGCAGTGCGCCACCGGGCCGGCCCATCTGGGTTTGGATATTAAATGAAGCCACTCATGTGGTCTCTTGGTTTCACACCGGAGATACAGCAAAGGATACAAGTGCCCACTGTGTTGTTGGGGAGAAGACATGAATAAATTAGACAAAAAGACACAAATCCCCAGCGGTACCCCCATTAAGGTGGAAAAGTAAATCTTCTACCCTTTTTTCTCCTGTCCTAAGATCTTGCTAGCTTGTTGGCATGAGGCAGAGAGGACTGACACACAAGGTGCAAATTCATAAGAGCACAGCTGCTTTTCTGAATTCTCCAAGCTGTTCGGTGGAAAGCAGTGCAGAATGCAATTTGAAAACTATAAGCTTAGGATCCTGGGCCAAAAATCTCTATTTTAAATCAAGATATTTATATAAAGATATATATATATTTCTTCTGCCAAAAAGAAATTAAAACTAACATAGAATTTTATTATAGGAATATGATTCATCAAGAGATGTGGTGGGTATTTTTGAGAATGCTGAGTAGATATTCAGGATAGTTACGGTTTATCAAATCTGAAAAGGAAGTTGGAAATTGAAAATGACCTTAAAAAATAAATTTCCTGATTTTTCCTGGTTTTCTGTATTACTGGACATTTTTATAAGGAGTTTAACTTTCTGGAACCGAAGGAGAAAATATGAATATTTTAAAATCACTTCTTGTTAAGCAGGTAAACCAAATTCAGTTTTCAGTAATTAAGAGTCAAAGTATTTGGATGACATTGTGTAAATTTCTGAAAAGGAACATCTAAGTCATCTTATTGGTTTAAATTTTTTCTTTGTTGAATGGCAAAGGCAGTACAAATAAATGACTTTAGATTTTTCTCTGTAGTTTTTCTAACTATTAAATTCTAGTCACTATAGAAGAGAGTGTGGAGGTGAGATCCTTTAACTAAATACCATAACAATCTAAATTGTATACAGAAAGGGCCCCAGCCCTTTGGAAATGACTCCCTTAGTGCGAACAACACTTGATCCAACCAAAGTCTTAACGTGGCTACAGAATTTTGATAGGTCGTCGGTGTTGTGCCAAATTTGATCTGAACTATGTATAAGTGAAAAGTCAGGGCTTACTGCTTTATATGTAATTCTAAGGGCTGAGTACTGGAAACAGTTAAACCAGTTAGCAAACAACTAGAAATTGGCCCCAAAGTGTGATACTTTTAAAAGCATGTGTTTTGTGTATATGCCCCCAAAATATCTGGGAGAAATTTCTTTCAGCTTTTGCTAAGCTGTTTTAACTGGAGAGTAGAGGTGTTTGTTTATATAAGAGCACAGAGCAGCAGAGTTGTTACAGGTCTCAGCACGTTTTACTTTTGATGCACTGCCCAGACCACATTTATGTTAAAACTGGCATTTCATAATCAATTATGAGAACGTTAATATTTTTGTTAGCTCAGAGTGCACGCTGGACTTATTCTTTAAAGAGGGACTGAAGAGATCCCCTTGACCAGATGAAGTAGCCGTGGGCCTTTCCTGGTGAGGCCTGAACACCGCATGTGGCTTCCCTTGTCACCCTGAACTAGAACGTGCCAGACTCAGGGCAGATGGTGATATGCGCTTTTTTTCGGTTTTCTTCCCTTTTGGGGCAAAGTGAGTGGCTTGCCGCTACTTTGTGTCCCATTTTTTAACCAGGCACTTTCTTCGACCCTGTTCTAAGGAAAGCCAGTGCCCTATTGGGTAAAGGCCACATGACACAAGCCACAGTCTCTGTCCCTGACAGAAGATGCTTTCCTTCAGAATTTCTCCAATTTCACCCACTCCACACACAATGGTCGACATCCTCACACTGGGGTCAGCCACTGCCGGGATGTGCAGGTGAAGCACCCAGATGTAATTTACAAACAACTTTGTTAATGTTGTGCTGGTACATCGTTTTTTGATCCCTTTTGTTCGGTTTCCTAATTTTCTGCAATTTTTTCTGCAATTTTTCAAACAAAATTCTATTTTACTACCCTAAGAATAGTCAGTAAATTGTGGGTCAGGTGTCTCACCTGTATGGTCAGGGAAGGAGTTTTTCTAGGTATAGAGTTAACCTTTCTACACTAAATGGATTATCACATTTTCAATCTACGCAGCATATGGACCATTTTGAATGGTTCAGAACCTACTTCCAGACCTTTCAGTACATCACAGAGGTTTATTTTACGGGCATCTGTTTCCTCATACTGTAGGGTGTAGAAATGTCATTCCATGAGGTGTACAGTAGACAGAAGGCCAGACACAGCAGCAGTGATTTTATTTTCGCTTCTGTAAGAAAATGCCTTGAATGAAATATTCAAACACTTTTCTCCTTTTGTTATTTCATTGGCTCCTGTTGAGTTGCTAAGTATGACTGGTAACTAAATTTTTAATTTAAATGAGGCTCTTTGCATTCAATTATGGTAACTCTGTTTGCCAAACAAAAACTTCGTATAAGTACACAAAAGACATTTTTCCTTGTTTCTGCAAAAACTCTTACAAAAGTTCAAATATTAAATTATGGTAAACATTAATCACTTATGGAGAAAATGATACATCACATGAAACCAGAACAGCCCCAGAAATTCCAATTTTTATATTTATACCAAACCACTCTCATTTGTGCTAAATGGGGTCATGATAGCTAGAATTCCTGAAAGGTAAGAATTTGAGAGTACTGAAAATTTCAATTCCATTAGTGTCAAATACATATCTCTCAAACTGGGCTAACTCTATGAATTAGTCCGTTTCTGTTGCTTATAACAAAGTACCTGAAACTGGGCGATTTATAAAGACATATAATTTATTTCTCACAGTTTTGGTGGCTGGGAAGACCAAAGTGCAGGAAACACATCTGGTGAGGGCCTTTTCCTGGTGGTGACCGCATAGAGATGCACAATATCTCATGATGAGAATGGCTGAGCCAGAGAGTCCTCCTCCTCACTTGCTCTCTTTTTAAATTCATCAGACCCATGCCCATTTATCCATGAATAGATCAATCCACTTAGGGCCACAGCCCTCCCAATCTGATCACCTCTTCGAGGCCGCACCTTTCAAAGACCAGAATAGGATTTTCCACCCTCTTAACACTGTCGTGGTGGGGGTTGTTTCTAATACATGAAACTTTGGGGGACACATTCATCCCATAGTGCTCTATTACTGTATAACAGAACCTAATTAGAGAAATCAGCATTTTAATTGGTTCATTACTTTCTATATGTAAAATAGGCCCTTATTAAGTGTTCAAAGATAATGCATGCTCAAATACTAAATACTGCCCTCCCAAACTAACTTAAACAAAAAAAGTTTATGCCAATCATTGTCTTACCAAATGATTTTTAAATATTATGCAGAGCTACGTAAACCCACTAAATCTTAGGTTTTCACTAATACATAGTTTTTGGCACCTGATTAATGTTTACTATATTTGCTACCATAGTTGCCTTTTACTACTGGGCATCTAGTTTAAGTGCTTCCCTTTAGCTAGAATGTTATTTTGAATGGCAAGTACAACTTGGTTTACTTCCAGTGTGTCATTCATTCCCAAGATGGCACAGTGAAGGTACTGTGAAGGTGACCCAAAGAAAATGCTCACCCTTGTCAGTGATGTCACAGACTGGCACTGCCAGAGGCTGTGCTTCAGCCACAGAGAACAGAACGTCTAAGGCAAACTGTAACCAGCCCTGTAGCTACAGACCCATAAAGGCCGGGCCCTGGGATCGGCAGCAGAGTGCATTTACTGAATTAGGTTTGTCTCGGAGATGTCACATGGTTTCAGTTTCATTGAGTAAACTCAGGATAGGTGTAGATAGGTAAGCTGTCACACCAAAACACAGTCCTGTCTAGATAAGTGCCTGAGCCTCAACTCTTCAAAGTGGAATAGAGATTCTTGGATAAGCCTGAAGAAAGGTTATCTCCTATCCACGTTGCTAATTGCTACCTGCCATTAATAGGCATTTTAACTTTTATCCCCCACAGTGGATGCTTTGAAAAAAGGATTTTTATTTATCAAAATCAAGACTAATTAAAATACAATTTTTTGTTCAAACAAAATCCTTATAGTTCACTTTAATGCCGTGTAAGTTAGTAGTAATTAACACTCCATCCTTAACGTTCATAATTATCTTCTCTCAAGGAACAACACAAGCTATAAGTATCTTTTAAAAATAAGAATTAGCACAACTTCTTACAGTGTATTGAATCAAGAAAACAGGAATTTTATTTTTATTATTTTCAGAGAGAGCTATCTATAAAATATCTGGTGAGTTGTATGACCTGTTTGGGAAAAATGAGAGATCTAAAGTAAATGTTTTAAAATACATTAATAGTTGTGCTTGTGCTTAATTAGAAATAAATTCTACTTTTGAGGAGATTTTATTGTAAGACTACTTACTGGCCATGAGTACAGAATAAACTTTAGATTATGTATATGCAGTCATGTACCACTTAGTGACATTTTGGCCAATGACGAACCGCGTGTAAGACAGTGGTCCCGTAAGATTATACTGGGTATACCATGGAGCCCAGGTGTGTAGTAGGTTTATCATCTAGGTTTGTGATGTGCACTCTATGATCACACAAAATCACCTCCCAAAGCCTTTCTCAGAACATATTCCCATCGTTAAGGGACATGTGACTGAATTTGGTATTAAATAATGGTTTTAAAAGCCAGAAGTTTTACTATTACGGTATGTTTTAGCACACTGGAAATTAAATTTTTCAAGCATTTCTGGACCCTGAATAGAAATATACATCAGGATACAACAATGACTTCTAAAAATACTATTAGAATAAACAATACTACTTCATTACAATTTTAAAGGGATTTCATTATTAAAGAAATAATCATGTAATGAGCAAGTTATTCAGAAAAAAAAATTCGGACTGAAAAAAAGATTTTTCAATCCATCACTCGGTTCCAAGAACAGCTGCCTTATACATCATCCTGGCTAGATCTGCATCCCCTTATTTCAGAGACTTTTTAAAGGCTATTGTGAAGTTTGGGAGAAATGGGGTGTGAAGACTCACACTGACAGCTTTTACCATGCTTTCCAAATAAACAGGTGTTCTCTGAATACAGTTGCCGACATACATGAAAATTCCCCACTGTTCTTACTCTCATTCCTGATAGATTTCTCAATATCTTACAGAAGTGTCCTTAGGAAAAGATGCCAAGCAACTCTTTGAAACATCTCCTCAGTGTTGCAGAAACGGCTCCCTCCCATGAATGCCCACACACATTCTCTGCCAGTTAACAAGGGATGGTGCAGAATGAGCTGGAAGCTCATCACTAGCTTTTCTAACCTCGCCCCGAGTTCTGTCAGACTAGACGTCTGGGGTCACCCACAGCCCCTCCCAGAGTCACCCCAAGGGCCACAACCTGTGTCACAGGGCCTTTCGGAGTCTGGCCTACCTTCCTCTCCCAGCTGATTACCCCATCCCCATGCCCACCTCTTTGTCCCTGTTCATCTGGATAAGTTGCCCCAAAGTTCAGACTGCCCCTCTCTCGGCTTCCAATTAATCCTCCTGCTACAGCCCGAGGGACCTTTCTAAAACCTGAATGTCCTCAAGCACTGTCCAGCATGCATCTCCAGTGGTTCACCCTCACCTGTCAATAAAACCTCAACCCCAGCTCAGGGAGGATGAGCCCTTCATGACCTAGCCCAGCAAGTCCCAACTCCGGGTGTGCACAGGAACTCCTGCAGCGGGGGCTGCAGAGTCTGGTTACTGTGGTCTTGGGTGTGCAGCAGGGCACAGAATCAGGGATTCCAGCCCCTTCCGTGGTCTCCAGGCATAACTCTCCCAGACTTGACTGGTCAGAAGGCCAACTCCTGGGTCTGCAGCCTGGCACGTTACTCCTGTGCCAGGCACACTATGCCCCTTTCCGAGCTTTGCTCATGCCCCAGATGGGAGGGCAGAGGTGTGCCTTCTGCTCAAGGAAAAGCCATGTCTCATGGAACCCAAGCCCCAGGACCTGCTCCTTGGCATTTACCAGTTACGGTTGGCAAAATGTTGGGAAGGGGGACATTTCCTTCACAAACACTTCAGGTAAGGTCAATACCACCTCAAGATAAGATTCCATATAATATTAAGTCGAACCATTATTTAGATATTTTTGACTTACAAAAACAGCAATTTCATGTAGCTCAACCTGATAACTTTCAAAAGGAGTACGGAAGTTACTCAAGAGAATGTGAAAAACACAAAGGTTAATTGAGCAGATTTAATTTCCCTGAGACTACAATCTGTAAACGATACAAATACCCTTCATTAGGCCAGTGGTTTTCAAACTTTACTGTGCACACAAATCAGCTAGTAACCTGGTTAAAATGGTCCCCTGTAGGTTTGAGCTGCGGCCTGAGAGTCTGCATGTCTAACAAGCTCCCAGGGGATGCTGATACTGCTCCTCTCTGGACCACACTTCAAATAGCAAGACATCAGACCAGATAACACAAACTGTTAAGAAAATATTTACCTAAAAACAATCCTGCTAACAAAAAAGTAAAATCACTAGGAGAGAGTAACAGAAATATTTCTCTATATACCAAGATCAATCTTTGGATTGCAATATTTCCATGCGTCTGATTAATTATAAAGCCTCATTAAGTTTATAGGCTTCTTTTAACGTCAAAAATAAAGTGCTATGATTTTAAAAATAAAAATGTGGCTATATATGAGAGCTTGTAAGAAACCTGATTATTTCTGAGAGTGAAGAAAAGACAATCTTTGGAGAACTCTTCTGAAACTTTACTTCATTCATAAACCCCTCCGTATTTATTGTCCTTTTGAGTCTAGTCTCCATGACATTTAGCATGCTCGTTAAGGGCAAGGCCATTTTATGTAATATTTTGGTCTCTGCAAAAGCACTTAGTGCTTGTGTAAAAGCTCACAATTCTAACACCTAATAAAAAGTTAATATTTTCTTTTGTAATTAAACAGAAAGAGGACAATCTTCAGACTAAAACATACTTCTAATTAATTTTCATAAATATTTGAGTTTATCCTACACAGAACTTATAAAACTAAGGAAATATTTTTTCTGCTGTACAAACAATAAATATTAAAGTTATAACAAATTAGTTTATTCAAATACCTTTTACAATTATATGTGTGTTGTGTTGAAAACCGGCATATTATCTTAGTGGACTAATTAAGAGGATGAAAAGGAATGTGAATTTAGGCAGCATGCGAGGAAAACAGGGAGTTTGTACTAATAAATGATGCAGCCCCAGTGGTCAGCGAGCCTGGGACATGCCTTCCTGCTAGTCTATGCTAACCCTCCCTGTGGGCTTCTCACTGGCCCTTGGCTGCCGCTTTGGGAATAGCACTTGAAGGAAGACCTAGAAGAAGGCACACCGAAACATTTCCCTGCACATCAACATAGCTTTTCTCTTTTCAGACATGAAATTATGAGATAAAGGGAATGATTTTTAACACAAGACATGGCAGAACCCAGTTCCTCCAATATGGCATGCCACTCTGCATAAAACACTCATCTTAAAAGCATTCCTGCACTTAGGTTTCACCACCGGGTTCTACTGTCAGGATGCAGCCCGAGGGGAATGCAGGCTTCCAGGAAGAGATCAGCACAACCCATGTCCAGGTGGATGGAGTCCGACTGGAAGCTAGCTCAGCTGGCTCAGAAGCAATGAACACGGAGTAGGCCCCAGATATGTTTGTACTGTCAGAGGACAGGTGCTGAGAACCGGGAAAAGGGTAACTAAGACACTGTGATTACAAACAATTTCAAGTCCAAATTTAGCCAGCTATTAATAAAAATAGCCAAGTCTCTGGCTTTTACTTTATTCGAAACCAGCATGTGTCACTATGATCCTTTTTCTACCTCCATGAAGAACTGCCAGTGGTGGTTGCTGAGAACCACAGATTTCTCCTCCTCACCCAGGCCCCCTGCCTCAGTCTCCAACGTGAGGTCAGCACCTGAGTTTTAACCGGTGTTGAGAAAGCTTCAACAGGCTGGTTCCAACAAAGCAACTCTTCAGTCTCTAGGATTTTGATAGCAGAAAAGCTCCGTCGTGACTCATGGAATTTAGCGGGAAGCCCATGCTCCAGACGGTCAGTGTCTGGTTAACATGCCGTATATTTTTCAGCAGGGAAACGCCTGTGGTTTCCACCCTTCTTCTGCATGTCCTCTTCTGTTATTCCACAGCCATCTCCCCATCCTGTAGCTCGTGGCTTTTCGCCCCTTGAACCTTTTAACTTCACTCGCCCAGCGGGGACGAGGAGGCTGTCAGGTAAACGTGGGGGAGCAACCCTTTGGGAAAGCTTCGCTCCCACCTCGGCCTTCCCACGTGCACTTCCCATAACACAGGGGCCACTGAGCCCAGCTGAGGGACCACGGGGCTGCCCGGCACCGCAGCACACCGCCCGTGCATAACCCAAGTTCCACTCACACCACCCACCCTCGTTCTGGCCTCTGTCCCTGACCTCACACCTCTGCTCCTTCATGGCGTCCAAGCGCATCCTACTCACTTTTTAATGTGTCACTCCTGCCGCCGCTAAGGCGAGGTGTGTTTAGTGACATAACGCACACAGCCACTAAGGCCAACGCAGCCCCCAGACTGGGGGGGCCACAAGGGCTCAGCTCCTGGGCGAGTCCCGAGAGGAGCGGGGCGATGACGCGGGCCACCGCCGTCACCGACTGCCCCAGGCCGAGGAGGGCGCCTCCGGCCCGGGCGCCGCCCACGGCCAGCTGCAGGTCGGTGA